CCGGGGGCTGGGGGCTGGGGGGCTGGCCCTGCCCATGGGCCTCGTGTAGGGTTCCTGGGCCCTGCCTGGCCGGCCACCCCTCACCTTGCAGGACCGTGCGGAACCCCACCCCGCCCAGCTCAGTTGCTCTGGGACCAGAGGGCCCGGGACAGAGTGACAGCCGTTGTCCTGACCCCCATGGGGAGCCCGGGAAGATCAGGGGAGCATGAGGGAGCCTCCAGGATGGGGGCGGACGTGAAGAGAGGTGACCCAAAGCCCACGGGGGGGCTGTCGCCTCACTGCGCACGCTAAGGCCGATGCTTCCACGAAAGAGTCAAAGAGGCCAGGCCCTGGCCTGTGTCGCTGATGGTCCCCGAACCCCCATGGCCTCAACTGGCCACCAGGTGCGGCTGCTTCCCACCAACCGCACCCCGTCCAGGGTTTTGTGCGGAAGGGTGGGGGCCACGCCCTCCCTCCCAGCCCGGCCCCCAGGGACCAAGTGTCCCGGACACCCTGCCGCCTGGAGGGCGCTCTTGCCCAGCTCCCACCCCCAGCTTCCCTTCCTCCCCAATCCTTTGCCCACCCCTTCCCCGCATCCCTCCCCGACCCTGCAGAGTCCACCCAGCCAGGGTTTGCCTCTGGCTTTCCTTACGGAGATAGACAGGCAGGCAGAGGCGTAGATGAAGCCACGCTTTTTAGCTTTCAAGGCACAAATCATTCCCTGTGCTTTCTGATGATTAATAAAAAGACGGTTCATGGTCATTGTGAAGACATCCGAGCCCTACGGGGAATACGGAGAGAAATCAGCAAAACTCTTAGGACCCAGAAAGGGGAGACATTTCGGGTGCAGAACCTGTTCAACAGGCCACAGAAATTTCTACTTTCACCTAAATGAGGACCCTCTCTACGCGTGCGCAGCTTGGGAGCCAGCATCTCACGGCCGCGGGGGTCGTTTATGAGGCTGTCGGCTTTCTCACTCGAGAGTGGTGCGCGGCCTCTTATGGGGATCTGGGAGTATGAAGAAGCGGGAAGGAGAAAGGCTTCAACCCGGAGACACCCACCTTTTCTGTCCCTCCCTGGGACCAATGTGGTTCTGGCCACATGGAGTCCCCGCCTGGTCTCGCCCTTAGGACCGGGTGATTCCAGCAGAGGGAGGCGAGGGCCCAGGGAGGTGGGTGAGACCCGTGCCCCCCATCGGTGGAGGAGGCTTGGCTTTGGGGAGTGGGACCAGAGGGGCTCTCCGTTCCTATAGTGCTTCCTGCCAGACCCCGGGGAGGGCGAGGCCTCCTTCCTGGGGGGTCAGAATGGGGTGAGGAGCAGCTTCAAAAGAGGGGTGCCCAGGGATCAGCCCAAAGGAAATAGCTGCAGGGCTCCCTGTGGGGCCGTCCTCTGTATGCGCTGTGGGGACAGGTGGGCAGCCAGCAGCTGACAGGGCCTGGGGCTCGTGATCAACAGACCAGTCCCGACAGATGGGGAGCCTGGGACCTCTGGCCTCACACCCGCTGCTGGGGTGGGAACGGCCGGATGAGCTCCAATGAGCTGTTGAGTGTTCCTGGTCCCGGAGAAGCGCATGGCTGACTGGAGGGACCTGCTGTCACCGGGCCGGGCTCCCATCCTACCGGCACCGCTCGAGCTGGGCGACCTCCAGTAAGTCACCGACAGCAGAAGGTGGCAGAGCAGCGTGTCCTTCCCGGATCCCGGGAGGGACCGAGGGCGGCGGCCCTGCGGGCCAGGCCTGACCCACAAGGTCCACAGTGACACCCCTCCTGTCGGGGCAGAGCCCCATGTCTCAGCACACCCACCCAGCTGCCTGCTGGCGTCCTTGCTCCCGGCACCTCCTGCCCAGCCAGCAGGATCTGTCTTTGTGCCTGTCTGTCTGTCCTGTGACACAGGGAGCTTCCTGGCAGGAGGCAGGGCATGTTCTCAGCTCCTCTGGTGTACAGTGGTATGGCCGCAACAGAGCAACTGAATGGAGTCTGACCAAGCTGGTCCTGGAACCTTCCTGGCCCGCTGAGTCTTGGCCCCTGACCTGGAGCCTGAGTGGGACATGGGATTGGGGAGGCCCAGGTGGCTCCCTGCAGAGGTTGGAGTGCAGAGGGTAGAGGGCAGAGTGCAGAGAGCAGAGGGCTGAGTGCAGAGGTCAGAGTGCAGAGGGCTGAGTGCAGAGGTCAGAGTGCAGAGGGCGGAGTGCAAAGCACAGCCACCCCAGGCCCCTCAACTTCCTCACCCCAACACCCTGCTGGGCAATGGGCCGAAGCTCAAGGTATGGACGCACAGCAATGTGGCCCCAGTGTCTGGACCCCCAAAGGTCCCACCTCCTAATGCCACCACATTGGGGTTAGGGCTTCGACACTCAGGTTTGGTTTGGGCACTTGGTCACAGTGAAAGGGGCAGACCCAGGCCTGAGACTACAGGGGTCAGCAGGGCGGAGAGTGGACTAAACTCGGCTGTAGAGGTGGTTTCTCCGCCCCAGGGGCGCCTCAGGTGAGCACCCCCATCCCAGGAAAGGGCCCAGGGCTGTCGTCGCTGCTCCAGAGTGTGCTGCACCTTCAGAGCTGGCCCTGCCTCAGCCCTGTGCTCCGCTGGCTCGGGGTGCAGGCCGGCCCCGAGCAGGAGTCAAGGGCTCGAGGGAATGGATGTGGGACCTGGACGAAAACTGCTCTGAGGTCCAGGGAGGCCTTGCGGTCAGTTCCTGAGCCAGAGGTCAGCCCCTGGTGGCCTGTGGCCAGCGGTCAGCCCCCGATGGCCAGCAGGATGCAGACAGGTGCCTGCTAGCTTTCGAGGATGGGTCCTTTTTCATTGGTTGCCAGCACTTAACAATCGGGAACTTTCACTTCAGAATTCAGACTCCGGCCTCCCCCTGAATGTCAGAGGCCCGCAAGCCTCACTGCCCGGCCACCGGCCAAAGGGGAGGGCGGGGGGCCTGTCTGCTGTCACCCTGGCCCCAGGCAGCTCCTCGCCATGTTGCACAGCTGTCTTCTGGACTGAAGAGAAAAGTGACGGGGCCTTTCCTCCCATTTATTTAGGGTGAAAAGTGGGGCAAAACAGACCCAGGGAGCCCTGTTTTGAGAAAAACAGGGGAGAGCTGTTTTCAGCAGGTGTCGTGAATGTTCCTTCATCCCTAACATGGCACTGAGTTCCCGGGAGAGTAAGAGCCCCCGCCCTGACTGGGCCCTTCGTTCCAGAGCTGGAGATGCTGAGGCCCTGCAGGATGGGCTTCCTCGGGTCCTGCTTGGAGCAGCAGGGGCACCAGGCCTTCTCTGATGGGTATGAGCACATCTGAGATGCTGGGCCACAGGCCCTGGGGGCTCCGGTGAGTGGCCTCCCAGACAGCCTGGCCCTCCAGCCGGGGGCAGCAGGGGGCCTGCGCTGGGCTAATGGCCTGGCAGAGCTGGCCTGCAGGAGAAGCGGAGGTGGCTGAGGAACCGATTAAGGACATTTGGTGGCTCCCGGTGGGTAGCCAGGCCCCAGTCTGGCCAGAGATCAGGCAGCCAGGAGCAGACAGACTGAGAAGTCCCCTTGCAGTCAGCAAGGCCGGCCTGGCAAGGCCACCTCCTCATTAGCGTCTCACTGGGAGGCCGCCGGGCATCTGCTTGCAGGGAGAGGGCCAACCCCTCACAGAGCAGCCTTTATGGAGCGGATCTGAGGATGGGGTTACTGCCTGCTCCAAAACATTGCCTCCACTGCCCCTCACAGGATCTGAACCTCCACCGCCCGCATCACACTGAGAGGGGAGCGGGGATTAACTGATTTACTAATTAGAGCAGGAAGTGAGAGAGTAGAGATGGGCTCCCAGGGCTGGCCAGCCGCCACGGAGTGAGCAGAGCAGCTTTTCAAGGTTAAACGTGGCTCTGACTGCCACACTGAGAGGGAGTGGGAGACCCACCAGGCCTCTAGGAGAGCCCAGGGTCAGTGATGCCACCACACACCAGGTGCCTGTCACAGCACCCATTTTTATTGTTCTATTATATCATCATTATTAACACCATCATCACCATCATCACCATCATCACCCTCATCACCCTCATCACCAGCATCACCATCACCACCATCACCACCATCACCACCATCACCACCATCACCATCATCATCACCATCACCATCATCACCACCATCACCATCATCACCATCATCATCACCATCACCACCATCACCACCATTACCATCACCACCATCACCATCACCATCATCACCATCACCATCACCATCATCACCATCACCATCTTCTTCATTCCTCCTCCTCCTCCTCCTCAAGGCATCCCTGCTCCTTGCCAAAGACGAAAAAGGAGGGAGGAAGAGAGCCACCCCACACCTCCACGCTGCACACCTCAGCTCACTGCCTGCCCTAATGCCCCTCGCGAGCCTCAGCTCCCTCCCCGGTCCCATGCACACATGCAGCCTCCTTCACGGAGCAGGTCTCCCAGTTTCATGGCTTTGGCCTCAGCAGTTCTAAATCCTAACCAACACCAGCCTCCTCGGCAGGTGTACTCGCCTGTTGGCAAGCGCAGGTGAGCGCGGGGGCCAGGAGCTGTGTTTTGACTTAGTACTCCCTGTATTGGGCCCAGAACTGCCAGGGGCTCAGTAAAAGCTGATTAGAAGGATGGGGGAGAGAAAGGGGGGGCGGGGAAGGCGCGATCACAGGCCCATCCTCATGAGGTTGGGTACACTGAGGGACAGAGAGGCTGAGGGACCTGCCCAGCGGGTGAGAGCTGTGTCGACAAAGCCCAGGTTTTCTGCCTCCACCTCAATGTGAGAAGTTTGGGCAAGAGAGCAGCGGTTCAAGGGTCATGCTTACAAGAGAGTACGGGGCCGCCCAGGCCACCCCTCTCAGCACCCCGGCCCTGAATGCTACAGCCTGAGGGCCACCCTGGGCAGCGGTGAAGCTGAGCATGTTAGGGAGAGACTGGCACCTGGGAGACAGCAATACCTCCAACCGAGGACCAGGGACACCGTGGCTAACACATTCCAGATAAAGTCAGTCTGTCCCACTGCCCACATAAGGAGTCACTTCTGTGTTGGGGACCTGCAGCTCTCCAAGCCAACTTCCCAGGAATGAGTTGTCAGCTGCTGCTCCAGCAATGCTGCCGGAACCCACCC